GGTGGAGTATGAAGCATGAAACAAACATCTTAACCTACAGGTAAGTTAGGGTACTACAGGTAAAGATCTTTACCAAAATATTATTAATTTATTGCAATCATTTTTTTCTTTGTTCATTAATGCGAGTCAGGCAGAGCAATTAAATCCTCTTCCACTAGGTGGCAACAGATTATTACAGGTTATACAGGTTATTAAAACTAAGAAAAGATCATCAGAGCTGTTGCAGAAGATCTTTGTGAGTGTCTTTCTTCAATTCCTGCCACTATGTGAGCGTTGTCTTCAACTAAACAGGAGTACATTTTTAGTCAGTTTGTATAATTTCTTCCAAGATACTCAACAAATCAAGATCAACACACCCAGCCTGCCATTTCCTCACATTCAATGGCAAAACACATGATACGTATTCACATTTCTGTCATCATTTGAAAGTGTAATAAAATGCCAACAAATCAAACCACCACTCACCTCCGCAGATGAACACAGTTCGCCTGTGCTGTTCTCAAACCGAGCGTGCAGTTGTTGTTAGCCGTTAAAACACTACAATCAGCATTTAAATTCATGATTGCCAAACAAGCCGTAAGCTAATCACTGCGAGAAAAGGAGAGCAGATAATGAAGAATGCAAACAAGAGACAAAGGAGGGAGGCGGTGATTAGCTGCTGCACCGAGCAAACAGATGGGTGCTAAAACTGTGGAGCGCACTTCCCCTTTACTGTTGACTCTACAATCTGTGTATCCATTGTTTTAGACGTTACACTGAGCCGATGTCCAAGTTGTCACATAATAATTGCCGAAGCATTGACCTCTGCTATAGTACAGTATGAACCGTTTAGTCCATTAAAACCTCAGTCTGTAGTTGTTCAGAAGAAGAAACATTTCCAATTTCACTGTAAACGCACACCGGTTCAGTGGTTTTTTTCTGGACACTCTATATTGACTAATGGTCAAAAGAGATTTTCTTAGATAAAACGTAAGTCCTGGCAGTAGCAGATAGCTTCGGTTTCAAATTTGATATTATGGTTAATGTAAAGTTAAGAGTTACAAGAAATATTATAATTTTGGACATTTGTTGTTGCGGGGCAAATAAAAACACACATGACTCTGCATCCAAACATTTAGTGAGTCTTGTTGCCGTAAGAGACTCAGGCTCAGAGCAGACTCCGCTGGTGAGTCATATTTAATAATAATAATAACAGTAATAAGTGCATGAAGACTTCCCAAAATAACACTATTTGATTTACATGTTTCCAAACCAAATGTTATATTCTTAAGCAGCACTTTTTAAATTAAAGTGCTGTATAGATGATTATAATTTCATTATTCTATATGATAATTATTCCGCAAATCCAGTAGCCTGAATTATAAAAAGAAGTCTGCCTGTATGAAATAAGAGACTCTTCAAGCCTAATTTGATGTGATTAGCATTTACATAAACACAATACCACTAAAACAATGAATAGTTAAAAAGTCGTCTTACTAGCTTAATTAAGTGTGCTTTAAAATAATTCTCATAATTATTATTTTAAAAAATCCCAATCAGCACAGGATTGTGTCAAAGTAGGAGCCTCTTAGTGTCATTATCTATGAGGTATTTTACAGTTTCAGGCACTGACAAAAAATCTTCTGCTGCTTCGTTAAACGCCTTAAATCCTTTCATATAGCAATGAAAGAGCAGAAACATAGACTGATTAAAAATAACATGCCCACCCATGCTGCTCTCAAAAATAAACCAGCGAAATATCCAGTTGCTTTGTCTATTAATAAATGTATTAGCGCCACGAGGCTTTTAAAAATAATGACTTTCACCACCCAACTACTCAGACAAAATTAGAAGAAATCTCCCACTCGTCTAGCCATGCTGTGATATGCAAAAGGCAAAATTAAAAATGCACTCGTTTAATCCACTCCTTTAGAGATCTCTGTAATTACCGAGTCCGTTGGCAACACGCAGAGAGGTGTTTTTTTTTTTTTTTTTTCCCCCACTTGACCTTGCCAGATAGTGTATATCTTCATACTTCCACCCTGTCAGTGGTTTAGCACTTCCATTCTGGCCAACATAAACACATGTAAACACAAACACCCACGGTCACTTCATCCGTCTGTAACATTAATGCAGCTGGGCGACGTTTGTTGCCGGCCCTCGTCTTTGCGCAGCAGATGGTTGCGTTCCTGCACCACATGGCCCGTTCTCAGGAGATCAAGAAGAAAAAGGTTTTCAATCTGCCTCGGCAACTGTACTTTCTTCGCCCGTTCCTTCTCACGTCAATTTTTTATTTTTTTTTCTCTCCTCCCACATGGCTTCAGATGCAGCACCTGTCCCCGCCTTCCTCCCACCCACGAACCTGACATGCCTCCCCCCGCAGTGACTCGATGCCCTGCATTCATTTAGCTGCTGTTCCTGATGATGTTAATACTTAATGCCTGTGTAAATGGGTAAGGGGACAAGGTCACCCAAGTTGGATCGTTTAGACGCTGCCTGAATGCACAGACAACCGGCAGAGGATTCCAACTGCCAGCACTTCCTTCTCTATTTCAATCGTGTTGTTAAATCGGTGCATATGTATGAAAGGCCGTGTTAAATTATTCACACCGTGGGGGAAGATGGCGGGGGGCGGGGACTGGAAAAAAAATGACAAAAAAAAAGAATGATTTCAACTACTTACAACGTGGAGCATGATGTAGTCACCCAGACGCGGGGCACTGTCAATGCGGACCAGGATGCCGTCCTTGATCGTGGTGCTGAAGCCCACCGCCAGTCGATCGGTCCGCGTGCTCGGTCGTTCGTTGTTGGGCCACGTGTACGTGATCAGGCCTCCTCCTTTACCGAAGATGTACGTAGTACCGGCTGTGAAAACAATCGAAACAGAAACAAAAAATTGAATTACCGTCCGTGCAAAATTCTAAGTAGACGTAACAGCAAAAGGCTGAGGTTCGATTCATTTTTACCATCCAAAAACATCACCTAACTAGACACCGGGGAGCTGGGAAGACACTTTCCCTGACAAAAACGGGATACAAAGCACCTTTATTAGGTGCAAGGTCTATTGCTCCTCACGGCTACCTCGCTACCGCTCCGGTGTAATTGTGTTGAGTTCTATTTTAGGTTTTTAATGGTATTCAGCCACCACCACCTTTTAGGTAGAAGTCAGTGACTCCCTTGGCGCCATCTATGACTTATCCAGCATTAAATATAGCCCCTTTCCAGGGAATAACAGCCGGAATGGGCAAAACCGGATAGTCTCCCAATCCTCATGTATTATATATGAGACCTGCAACCAAAGAACAAAGGCTGGCACAAGAAAGGGGAGAAGGGGGAGGAAAAAAAAAAGAAGAAGAAATCGAACAACTTTCGTCAGATTTAATGTGACAAATGTAGCATAAAAACAACAGGCCTCGGCACCAGAGGGTAAGAACTGTACTAAAGGAAATAAAAGGTTTATAATATGACAACAATATTAAAATAATAATAATAATAATAACAGCAAAAGTCAACTATTTGGTTAATTCCTGGGCAAACTCTAGATTATTTAAAATAATTTTATAGACGCATAAGATGCAGAACAATGTGAAGCTAAAACTATTTGAGCCGTTCAGCTCTCCTGTCCACACATAGGACAAGATAATCAAGAGATCAAAGGGATTAAACCTCCAGCAGAGGGTGTAGAAGGTGAATCAATACAGGAGATGAAACTGACTCCCGGGGCCTCAGGATAGTGGAAGGAATTCTGCTAGCCCTCACAAGCTGACAATAGATTGCTAATGAAGTCTGTGAGTACTTGCAATTTCATTATATTTACTATTCGGCACATTTATCTCCAGACATCTTCTCCGAGTCACCTGAACATCTGCTGGGCCCGGTGATAGGTGCCCAGCTGTCTCAACGTTTCCCCTATGAAGCGGCCAACAATCTGCTTTGGGTTCACGATACACGGGGGACTGCGATAACATACGGACGAGAGAGGGTGAGCTGGACTCTGTTGGCCTCCAGCACATACACAGCACCACCTCTGGTGTCAGCATGGCAAACCGGGAGGGAAGTTTGTTTACGGAGTGTGAAACTCTCCTGACCTCAGCTCGCAGCTTTATGTTTCAAACCCAATATATACTCCGTAGACACGACTGTTGTAACGCAGGTGGATTTTTGTTTGCTCATTAGCATTAGCATCGTCACGAAAATACCAGCGCAGGGCGGCCCTGAAGGCTGGTCGCACTGGATCTGGACCGTCTGTGTCATTGCCGGAAATGATCTTCACAGTTCTGGCAGACTTGAGATCAGCTTCTTCAGTGGAACTAGCAACCTTCCAACCAATGTCATCGAGCGCACACCTTTTTTTTTTTCTCTCTCTCTCTCTCTTCACTGCAAGAGATGACGATGATGATCAGCAAAGACACGGCCACCCTGGGGAGCCAATTATCACATTGAGGAGATTTGCTTAGTGTTTCAAGGAGGCGATGTTCAGCATGATTCACACAGGGAAAGCCGCACGCACACACACACACCTCAAATCACACTTATTCACAAAGAATCGTACACAAATAGAACATCGGATGGAGAAACAAACCATACTGTCAGTGTCAATGTTTTTTAAAGACGGGGTGAGATGAGGCTCCTCGCAAAAAAAATCAGACTGGAGGGTGATTATCTTTAGCAGAGAGGAAGAACACCCTGATCATGCCCGGAACTGAACACACACCCACACTACACTGACTGGAATTAATCACTCACAGGAAATCAAGAACGATTTCGAACATTGTGCAGAATAATCATTACATCAATTTTGATCATACAGTGGTTTTAACAGTTTATTTTCATCTATGAAAAAAAATATATGCTGACTAATGTCTACAATATGAAAAAGACGTGATTACAATAATAAGAATTTTAAATTTCAACTGATGAGTGACCAGAACTTCCGGGCACGACAGCCATTAGTTCCACTGCCCTGACAAATATATAGTTTACCAAATAACTTACACTAGTACTTTAGCAGAAAAAATAAAGTTCAAAATGGGCATCTCATTAAAAGTACAAGAGTTCGACCTAAGAAGAACGCCATTGTCTGCAAAAATCCTGCTTCATTAGGGGAACAGCCAATTATCTTCTCTAAAGGAATCTTTGTAACAGTCCACCACATTGATGGGATCTCACGGCGTTGTATTTACCTCCATTTACCAGGCAATAAAAGAGTTTGATGTCGCAACATACATTAAAAGGACAAAAGCAAAAAAACAAATAAAAAACAAGTCGTGGAATTACAGTAATCCTGGTTCAGAGAGAACGGCTTTAAAGGTTCCACCTTGTATCACTTTAACGCTTCAAACCCTTTTTACTAAATATGTGCCGTGGTCAACAAAGTCTTTCTTCATAAGGTAAAACAAATCTGAATTGATAAGCGGGTAAAAAAAATTGCATTTTGATGTTTTTTGTTCATAAAACTATACAGCGATCGTTCCGTTGCTTTTGATTAATCTCTTCTGCCGTGCCTTCGTTTAAAGTCAAACTGCACGGAGCACAGACTGGGTCAAATCTTTGGCCTCTATTTCGCGCAGGTTCCCGTGGGGCGTGGGAGAGCAGACGGAAGGTCAGGACACCTGTCTGCAAAACAGAAGTGTGTCCTGTCCTTCAGCTCCACACATGACATTAGCCTGCTAACCATCGAACGGAGGTGGAGGAGAAGGTGAAAAAAAAAAAAAAAGTTATGATGGTGACCATGTGAAATCTGGGTGATAAAACAGAAATACATTTTGACCCAGTTTGGTTTTTGTTTTTTCAAACAATCCCATTCTCCTCCGTGTTATCTTTCATATAACAGATTATGTCACTATCTGGAGGCAAAAACAAAAAGAAAGGAGTGTCTGCCCAGCTGCATGTCCATCATAACCAGGTAATTGGTTACATTCAGGCATCACATCACGCTGTGATAAAACCCACTGTTCCAGAGACTGGGACTCTCTGTCCAACCGCAACTGCTGCAGGGGGGCAAAGGTCTTGAGTTGTGTGTATGTGTGTGTGTGTGTGTCTTTATAGAATGGCAAAGCACAAGGCCCAGAACCCAAATGTGTAAACTCAACTTTACCTTTGTGTTTGTGTGTATGCACACACGAGTGTTTACAGGCATTAACATGGATGAGCGTGAACACCGAGGACGCTCCTCTTTGTGTGCGCTTTCATGGGCTTTTATGTCTTTACCCTTGTTATCTCTCGGGTGTTCTGCCAAGCTGGTACCCCAGGGGATGTGGGGTAAGACGTATGCGGTTTGATGTGGTTGACTTTTTTTTTTTTTGCCATCGATAAATGAAGAAAAGAGAAAAGAGGCGTCAGAAATTCTGTCAGTGAGATGCGCAATTTAATTGCCTCCTCAATCACGCTCAAAAGAACTCTATCATTACAGGGCGCTTTCCCCCCGCCGCGCCTCGCGCATTGGGAATTATTAGGCTTGCTGTCCTTCACACAACCACGATGAGGAATCATTGGCAGGAGAATCAAATTGTTACATACTGTGAGCTGTGTAATCACCAGGATTTATCTCCATTTTACAACCGCTTATCATTCCATAATTCATGTTTGCAACTGTTGCCTCCCTCCTCTGGGATGAGAAGTTATGATTGAACTCCCCCTCTCTCTCTCTCTCACGCCCTCCCTCTTTTACCTCCTCACACTCTCCTTCCACTGATTTTGGATTTTTCTCATAACATCTAGTTTTATTACAATTAGTTGAATCTAATGTAGCTGTAAACATAGTTTTTTTCTCTTTTCCAATACAGCAGTTCCTCCAACAATATTATTCCAAGACTAATTATATCTCATATTTTTATAGCCTACAGAAATTAAAATGTATTACCTTAAAAAAGTTTGATGCTACTGTCCTTTACGATATCAGCACCATATACTTTCAAAGGTTTATTCAAACAGTCCAAGCTTAAGTACCTACCAGGATGTACATACCAGGACAAACATGGACGCACCGTGCTCTTGGAGCTGTCGTCTCGTGCACATCCGTGCCTTGTGACGAGACGCACTTTGCATTTACAGCAAAGAAGGATATTTCACAGTCTCCACGGTGCATGTGAGGACGGCAGAGTGTCAGGCTCACATTCTCAGGCACTTTCTGCTGCTTAGGCTGAAAAGCAACACAGCCAGGAGGATAAAGTTTTGAACTGCCGGGTGGCAGCTCCCCGCACGGGGATTAAGAGGTCAAACGCGACAGTGGCTGAATTTGTGCTGCTGCATTGTGCATCAGCACAATAGAGTCGGAGACAAACTCCCAACTCTGCGCGGCGGCTGAACATTTACAGTGCCTGGTGGAAGCGGCACATAAAAAAGAGGCTAGAAAATGTAGTGTAGATGTGTTGACAGACTCGTTAATTTGAAACGTTAATTCATTTTGATTAATTAGGCCTCTGTTCAGGTTAGAGCTGGTCGGGTTCAGTCGGCTGATATTTAACTGGGAGCTCTCCCTGGGAGGGCAGATGTGGCCAGAGGACGGTGTTTTTAACCTTTTCCACTTAATTCGACGGTATCCTGGGGGCTAACACTTCAATATGTTCAACGTTAAAATGAGCTTTGCATAATAGTTCTGCAAAGAGTCGAGTAATTCCACCGTCAGCTGATTTTTCTTTTGATTTGAAATAGAGGAATGGTATGGATAAGGGACGGGAGGCTCCATAACTGCCTCCTAAGTCCCCATAATTACATGTTGGACGTCCATCCTCACCCTCATGCTCTCTTTTCCCATCTCCCCCTCCATTCTTTCTACTGCACTACGGACACTCTATTCTGTTGCAGCGTCGAGCCAGTGCAAAGAAAGAGCTTTCAATGATTTTTTTTTTCCCTTCTCCGTTCTC